TATTTACATTAATTTGAATTGAAAATTTGTCGTTGTGTTGTTAATTGGTGTTAATATTAGCCACACATCCATATAATATTAAATGGTGAATATGTTTTTACTCTGTTCATTACTACTGTGACAAGGTGATATTAAGGTTCACATCAGTATTGCATCAAATTACACAATCACAAGCCTCAACTCTCATTTTGAATACAAACATGATGTGAATATTCACATTAAAACATGCAAATGTGAAGGTTCACATGAATTATGAAATATAGATAAAGGCACTATGGTTTCAAAGTATTAATTACTAATATGGAATGATGATATTAAAGTTCATATCAAAATTGCATTGCCCACATATCACTTAAGCCAATGATTATGCATACACAATTGTAAAGCAACTGACAACAATGTGAAGGTTCACATCGATTTTTTAATCTCTAAAAATAATATAATTCACTAACCCAAGCAAATATCATTGCATATTGACGCTATGCAAGCCAACTTGATTTTAACATAATGGTCTTGTCTTGCTGTAATTGTGGCTCAATTAGAGTTTTTTGAAGTTATGACATTATTCACAGTATGACTCATGTAAATATTAGTATGAACATTCACACTTATTGCTAAAATAATAGTCACGTGGGTTTGGTCAATGTGGTTATGTTAATATTGATACTGAGATAATATGCAAATATTTCCTTTATGTTGTGAAATTTTGTTCCTGTCAATATGAGAAATCAACATATGTTGGTACTGTCTCCGTGGCCTATGTGAATATTCACACCTTGATTAATTCCACTATTACTTTTGTTTTCATATCCACATTCATTTGAATATTCACATCTCCAGTGATATTTGCTTGGGTTAGTGAATATGATTTTGTTATTGTCATTGATTTTGATTCTTTGTTATTGGGTTTCAATGTAGTAATATTTTTTGAGATTGGTAATGTGTCTGATATGAAAATGATGTAAATGTTCATATTATTAATCAGTGTTAATATTCACATTAATTTGAATTGAAAATTTGTCGTTGTGTTGTTAATTGGTGGTAATATTAGTCACACATCCATATAATATTGAATGGTGAATATGCTTTCACTATGTTCATTACCACTATGACGAGGTGATGTTAAGGTTCACATCGGTATTGCATCAAATTACACAACCACAAGCCTCAACTCTCATTTTAAATACAAACATGATGTGAATATTCACACTAAAACATGCAAATGTGAAGGTTCACATGAATTATGGTATATAGATAAATGCACTATGATTTCAAAGTGTTAATTACTAATACGGAATGATGATATTAAATTTCATATCAAAATTGCATTGCTCACATATCACATTAAGCTATTGATTATGTGTACACAACTGTAAAGCAGCTGACAACAATGTAAAGGTTCACATCGATTTTTTAATCTCTAAAAATATGACTACATCAACATTGCATTAACCACAAACCATCATTTATGTGTGTACATAAACATGAAGTATTGTACATTTATGCACAATTAAATTATTGATGTGAATGTTAATATCACGAATAAAACATCAAATAAATTAATTTAGTTGCATTAAGCCAATGGTTATGTGTACATAATTATAAGACAACATAAACTAATATGAATATTAACATTGACTTTCTAGTAGCAAATATTATGACAACATATCATTGTATCTTATTAAGCACAATCAAAATAACTAGTTATGATTCTTTTGTCCAATGTATTCTAATATTTACAAAATCGCAAATGATGTGAAATTCATATTCATATTTTTCTCGCCGATATAAAATGTGTCTTTTGATGCCTTGTACGTCTCTAGCACCCATACGATGATATCGTTGAACTTCATGCATTTGTTGAGGTCAACTTTACCGATCCTCAACACATCAAACAACTGCCAAAATGGCATTTCCTTCAAATAATCCAGCTGAGGATCCAAGAACTTGGTGCTCGTCATCAGTTTCACTAATCCAATGATGTTAGATCAGTAGTTGACCTTTTTCATGTTCACTTTCAGGGGGCTAGCTATTTGTTCAAGTTTGTTTTTGACGTGGAACTGTTCTCTTTTTATTTTGCCATGAAATCTATGAGTAACATCTGTTTGTTCAATTAGAAACAAATTTATTGTTAACGGTCACAAATGGAAAATCAAAACAAGTGCAAACTATATGTGCTATGAATAGTTAAATGATGTGACCATAGTTGCATTGAGCAAAATCATGATATCAATATTCACATGAACACTGTTCAACATAGGATAAAACAATAAAAATCAAATAACTGATGTGAACATTCACATGGATCATATATCATGAAATTAGTTCATGTGTCTGAAAAATAAACAAAATTTTGAGAGTTCAAATCATTTGATCATAATCAACAACACTAACAAGGATAACGGCCAAAAAATAGCTGGAAAATAACAGATGAAATATGGAATAATAACATATTATAACTATTAAACTAACACGATGTATACATGATGCTAATCTTCACATCATTACATTATATATTTGACTGTGAATGTTCACAACCAAATATATGGTGTGAATATTCACATTGACCGTATTTTATGCCACTTTTCATTTTTTATGAAAAAAAAAAAAAATAGGGATTCAAATTATTTGATCACCATCTACAATCAACAACATCAATAAGGCTAACATTCACAAAATGGAAAAAAATAACTACAATATTATGAAATAATAGCACATTACAACCAATCAACAAGAATAATGGCCATATGATGTAAATGTTCACATCAGTTCATTACAATCAAACATAAAGAGGAAACACAACAACGATAATATCAAAGAGATGTTTTAGAATTCACATTGAACCAAAAAGAGGGGGGAAGGATAGTGTGAATATTCACATGGACCATATTTCATGTCACTTTCATGGAAAATAATCAAAAATTGGAGGTTCAAATTATTGGATCACCATTAACAATCAACTACACCAACAAGGCAAACATTTACAAAAGAGGAAAAAATAACTACATTATTGCAAAATAATGTCATATTACAACCAATTAACAAGAATGATGACCACATGATGTAAATGTTCACATCAGTTCCTTATAATCAAACGTAAAAAGGGGAACACAACAATGATATTTACCAAATAGCTGTTTGGAATTCAAATTGAACCAAAAAGCAGGAGGAATGATGGGTGCTTACGTTTGTTCCTCATTTTGGTCGATTGTACACATTGACCGATGTGAACTTTCGTAGAGCTGTCTTCAAATCATTGACAATGAATGAACAACGGTTAGATGATGAGACGTTGGTGAGATCGAATCAATGTAAACTTTTGTAGCAGTGAATCATCACTTTGCCTATGTTTCCAGTTGCTGACAATGACTCAGCTACAGTGGAATGACGGTAGGATGGTGGACGGCACGATGTAAAACTTAGGGTTTGGAAAAAAAATGACCAACCGTAGGGTTTGGGAAGGAGAGATTTTCTGCGTGAAATATGGAATGATGAAGGTGGAGTGTTTTGATGGGGTTTGATATCAAGAATGGAAATATGTATATGAGAGCTTGGGACTATTTGGTCTTATTATATCGAATATGACCTAATGGAATACTGGAAAAAAAATTAGGTTAGATGGAATAAAACTCTTAGAAAATAGATTTACTAAAAAAGCTCCCATAGTGTTTTGATGGGGTTTGATTTCAAGAATGGAAATATGTATATGAGGGCTTGGGACTATTTGGTCATATTATATCGAATAGGACCTAATGGAATACTGAAAAAAAATTTGGATTAGATGGAATAGAACTCTTAGAAAATAGATTTATATATATATATATATATTTGTGCAGTTTAACCTTAATAATTTTCATTGTTGAAAATGTACATTTTATTGTCATCTTAATTTGAGCTTGCTTGTTTTCATTTTTCAAAAAATTCTACTTTCTTATTTTCCGTGTTTTTTTGTTTTTACTGAATTTTTTTAAGGAAAATTTACCCACAAGTCCTAGTTTCTGAAAAATTTTCTTATGCTCCATTTAGTCCCATTTGCGCATCAATCTAATGTTCGAAACATTAATCTGATGTTCGAAATCTAATGTTCGAAACATTAATCTGATGTTTGAAACATTGTAATGGGACCTTTCTATCTATAAGAAAACTTTTAGGACTAAACAGTGTATAAGTTATTAATTTGGGATTTATTGGTACATTTCCCTTTTTTTAATATTTTAAGTAAGTTTTTTACTTTTTAAACACACCTAACATAAATATACCTAAAAAGTAAAAAAATTGTAAAAAAAATCTTTTAAAAATTCAATAAATACCAAAAATATAAAAAATAAAAAAATACAAGAATTCAATATATTTTTTATATTTTTATTATTTATTAATTTTTTAAAATATTTTTTCACAAATTTTTTATTTTTTAGATACATTTAAGTAAAGTGCATCTAAAAAAGTAAAAATATGTTTAAAATTTTAAAAATATTCACTAAAAACAAAAAAACACAAAAATCAAAAAATTCAATTTTTAAAGAACTTAATCCAAAAAACTCAAACCAAACACACTAAATAATTTTCATCATTGAAAATGTATGAAAATGTACATTTTATTGTCACTGTTTATATATATATATATATATATATTTGTGCAGTTTAATCTCAATAATTTTCATCGTTGAAAATGTACATTTTATTGTCACTATAAAAGAAGTAAAGACAAAACAAGATAAATTAATTTATCAATAAGAGGATAAATTATCAACTTTCTTATCTCCACAAATACTTGACACAACCAAAAACAATTATTAACTTTTGAAAGAATGCTTAGGATGTCAATCTCATAGTTTTCCAACTAAAATTTCAAATGCAAATCTAATTTATTTGCGAGCTTTGTAAATATCTTCAATTTTTAAAAACCTATAACTATCCCTAAGATCCAAAGCATAGCTTGTAAGATTTCAATAGAAATCTAAACTCAAAGAAATGAACATGGTGCTGCACAACACAAGGACTAATCAAAAGATCAACATGACACAACTAATGAAAAACAAAAGTTATACAACAGTATCCTCATTCACTATATAGTATGAAACAATACAGCAAATTCGCAAAGTTCAAACAGTTAATGTGTAGGCCTCAAAATATTTTCTTTATTTCCTCTTTCTATTTATTTTTAATCTTCTTGCTCTGTTTCCCTTGGAGGGAGGTTCTGTTTATGCCATTGTTGAGAAAACAGAAAGTTGGGTCAGTTTCCAAATGTGCAGCAGAGGAGCAGAGCAGATAGAATTCATTTCTCTCTCAACACAACATAGTTACTAGGTCCATTGGTTTTTTGTATTTTGGAAATTCTCCTCAGTATAGCTGCGAAAGCATCCTTATCCTGCATTAAAAGATCAAATGAACTCCATCAGTTTCCAATCTTTCTCTACCAAAAACAAAAATGACCCATACCAAAATCATTTCTTGCCATAATTCTGTTTACCATATGATGTGACACTTACACAACCATTAACACCTTTCAAATATTATTATTTGTGATGTTAAATTTAAATATAAAAAATAAGAAGATAGATTACATAAACCCCAATATTTGACCCTTGTAACAAATTAAACCTCACAGTTTTTATTTATTTATTTTTTCTATTTAATCCTTGAATTTTTAAAATATATATTTAGTTACACTCATCCAACTATCTCCGTTAAAAAGATTATAACAGAATAGAAACAATTTTTTCCATTCCCTCTCTCTTCACCTTCATCCTAAACATATATACACATCTACAAACAATACATATACGAACTCCATAACTGCCTTCTCCACTGCCTCACCCCAACCCTTACCAGGAAAAAAGAAGAGTTCCTTGTGCTGTCTGAGGGAACGGTGAATGTCTCAAATTAAATTCTCCCATCAGAATAACCACGAACTCTTTTAAAAAGTCCCAGCCCATTGTTTCTTGAAGCTCTCTCTCTCTCTCTCTCTCTCTCTCTCTCTATATATATATATATATATATATATATTTATGTATAGCCACTAGAACCAGTTGTGAAAATGGGCAATCATTGATCTTCATAAAATCATATTAAATCTGAATTTATATTTGACAAATCCAAATATTGGCAAAATCTAACATCAATCAAATAGTTTACATCCTATCCACTACAATCTGACAATTGAAATAAACAAATTATGATTCATAGTGCACTCTTTAAATAAACACTCTATATATGTATATGGATGTATATAGACCCATATAACACGCTCCTCTGCTTTTGTATTTCAGCATTTGAAGAAACTGAAAAAAGAGGGATGGGCGACAGAGAGGGTGGAGGGAAAGGAAAAAAATGGGTGGTGAAGGGGGAAGGGAGGGGAAGGAAAAGGGACTAATGGCGGTTGGGGAGGTGAGGGATCAGTGGCAGTGAAGGAGATAGAAGCAAAGGGAAGGTGAGGGATGGGTGGCCCAGCGACGGGGGAGGGGAAGGCGAGGAGGATCTGTCGCGGTCAGTGTGAAAGGGGAGGAGGAGAAGCAGTGGTAGGTCTGGAGATGGGGATGAAAGAAAGTGGTCCAGAGGGATACAATAGGTTTGATCCCAAGTGACGAAGATGATGATAGTCTGTATGATGAGTGGCTCAGATGTGGTTGATGATCAATAAAGGATCTAATGATAAAGTTAAATGTGGTGATCTGGTATGGTAAAGTTTAAAGTTAAATTAACATCAACTTTAAAGATCTAATGACTTATTGTCACATATGCTACAAAGGTTTTGCTCTTTTAGTCAAAGTAATGGAAGTGAATGGAGGGTTAGAATTATATCTAATTAAATGATTGGGATTAAATTTGAAAAAATTAAGAGATTAGGATCATATCGAACTTTTGATTGTACTAATAAAATTTAACTTATTAATCTTCAATATTTATTATAAAATAAATAAATAAAAATAAATAAAGTGATGCTAATTTTTTCAATTATAGAAAATTAAATTCCAGGAAGAATTTGACAACAATCAACAAGCTGTTAAGACAGATAGGAGGTATTTAATTATCTCTACCCAAAATGACCATGATTGTCCAGGCTATTATTGTTCTCATAAAAATAGACAGAATTTGTAACATAAGCATGGATGAAGACCCAGATAAAACATGAAAGAAAGTGCATACCTCTTTGCATTTTAATCTGGATTTAAACTTAGCAACAAGATCTTGTGTGGTCACAGGAGTCTTTTGCATTAAAACAGCTCGAATTTCTTCTTCCGTGACAGGTCCAGCAGAAGCGGTTGATGTCAATGCTGCTTTTGAAGAAGATGGAGGTGGACCTTTTGTGGGTACACTACTTTTTGAACTAGTCACAATTTCCTCTTTCACAGATTTCACCTCCTGCTCCAAAACAATTACAAGTCAGAAAAAATTTCATCTAGAGTGAGCTCAGGAAGATCAAAGATACTATATGTACATTTTCTGTCTTCACTTTTTTTGGAGGTGCACCGTTACTAGCTTTTGCATCATCACCATTTATTTTTCTCTTTGCCTTTGTTGACTTGGAAGTGGTTGGGGTTCCCCGAGCAGATCCCGAGGAAGCTGGTTTTAGAGGACTGTTATCAACAGGTTCTTCTTTTGGAGCATCCTTCTGCTTGGGAGCCAGCACAGGTGATGAGCCAATATCATCCTCTATCTGGAGGACAAACCCAAAAAACGCACCTCTAGTTAATTGGCAAGGAAAAAAATGGATAAACACAAGAAATCTTGGGAAGGTCCCAAAATATGCGAAAAAGCATATCACATATTCTTCCCAACTAGCAGTGGGTTAAAACGCGATCCATTTGCAATTTTAAATTTAAATTTTTCGCTGATCAAAAAAAAATGATGATGGAGGAAAACTGATTAGCAGTTTTGAAAAGTTGATGAAGGAGAAATTATTCTAACAATCATTGAATGTGACAGTTTCTACTTTCTAGGTAGGAAGGGGCAACAGTTACTGCTGGGAAGCAAGGGCATCTTCAGAAAAGTGAAAAAATGTGACAGCATCCACACCAACTCAGGTATATGCTTTATACAATAGAATAAATATGCAGTAATTATTATGAGGAAAAGAACACAGCAGTGAACGTCTCTTGTTTTTTTATTCCTATTTTCACTTGCACGAGCATTTCATAAAAGCAGATCAAATAAAATTCTTTGTTAATAGAGCATTCAAAAATAGTTAGGCATCAGAGATTCACAGAAACTTACATCATCATCGTCGTCATCATCCTCCACATCTGAATCATTCAAACCACCAGTTCGCCCCAGCAGCTTCTTCAACTCTTTTCCCGATTTGCTCAGACCTCCCTCCTCTTCTTCATTAGTTTCATCCTCATCCTCTTCATCCTGCAAGCAAGTGTTCGGGACATCACATCACCATTATATCAAATTGCAGTATTCAAGTTGAAGGAAAGAAATCACAACTATAGTAATCCACGCAGTATACAAGCAAGAGAAATCATGAAATCTCATTTGTACTTGGTGTGGCTTGGCAAAAGCTAGCTAGTGTCTCCTTCCTGCTACAAGCATTAGAAAAGACTAAGAGGCAACAAGGGCCTCCCATCAAACCACATACTGCAGTAGAGTTTATCTTCTATTTGGATTTCACCAGCAGGTTTACATCACAGGAGTTAAAACAGATTTCAGCAAGTCACAGACATCTTCGAAAGGTGCCTATTGAGAGAGAGAGAGAGAGCGAGATCTTCTGAAATTTCACATTTTCTGAGCTAAAGCCCAACCATCTTGCATCATTTATATTTAGAAAAAAACAACCATTGACTATACACATGCTTAACAACCAATAAAGATAGAGACTGCAGGGTTCACGTAGACACAGCAAAACAAGTAACATGACCCATATGCAAAGCTCAAGAGCTTACTAATTGGAAACTCTTAAAATGCAAATTCGCTATTCACTGATTTAAAAACCCTAAACCCCAAACCCAAAATGCTATTATGTTATTTGGGTTGGGGAACACATTCAATATCAAGAGTATCATATAGAATTATATATACATATATGTGTGTTATTATAGCATCCTTACAGCTGATGGGGCCAGCACAGCATCTATATGCCAAAGATTGAAAACTTCAATACTCCCTTCGTCCCAAAATATTAGTCCCTTTTAAAAAATCAAGGACTAAAATAATATTAATTTCCTATTTTGCCCTTCTTTTAAATTCATTAACACCACAAAAAGTACAATTATGACAATTGATATTCCTCAAAAAATGTACTATCAAAGGGTAATTTTGAAAAATCAATTTTTTTAAAGTGCAATAATTATACTATCAAAAAAAAGTTCGATTTCCCAAAATGTACTATTATTTTGGGACGGAGGGAGTACATAACATATGAGGCCAAAAAATGATTTTTTGAATGATAGTTGGAACCTCACATAATAGATATAGGACTGGTGTTCAACAAGATTGGGGGGAAAATGTATACAAGATAAGAAAAAATCATATTTCCATACACACGTGAATGAATATGTAGACATCTATTAAAAGTATCCATCTAATTGTTGAGTCCACAGAGAGATGCCCATAGAGCAAAAAGATTGATTACCACTACGCAAAACATATGAGGTATAGTAACCATTGATTGACCTCTAAGAAGCACGGACACGGACAGGGATAGGGACATGTGTCACAACACTGACACACGTTGACACAAAAATTGTCAAAAAATGTAAGACACGACACGCAGGGCATGTGTAAAATATATAATTTTATATATTTATTATATGTCATTAGCAAGGACAAATAATTATTATATGTCATATATATGAATATTTTAGTCAAATATAATAATTTTTAACATATGAAGGAGGAGAGTAGATATAAATTTGCATTGTTTTTGTTTTATCATTAGATTCCAAGTTATTTTATTCAATCTTATAATGTATTTCATGTGTGTCCAAGTGTTGAGAAGTGTTCGGCGATTGTTGTGTCGTGTTGTGTTGGTGTCAGACACAATACATTACATTCTTAGAAGTGTTTGTGCTTCTTAGATTGACCTTTAAAAAGTAGTGAAGGCCTCACAAAGGTTAAAGGTTTGGTGGCTATAAAAATTTAGCAGTCTACACATGATTTTTAACGTATGAAGGAGAGAATAGATATAAATTTGCATTGTTTTTGTTTTATCATTAGATTCCAAGTTATTTTATTCAATCTTATAATGTATTTCATGTGTGTCTAAAGTGTTGAGAAGTGTTCGGCGATTGTTGTGTTGTGTTGTGTTGGTGCCAAACACAACACATTACATTCTTAGAAGTGTTTGTGCTTCTTAGATTGACCTTTAAAAAGTAGTGCAGGCCTCACAAAGGTTAAAGGTTTGGTGGCTATAAAAATTTAGCAGTCTCCCTTGAGAGAGATCAAATAAAGCATAACAAGATCAATAAATTCGCCAAAGTATTTCTTAACAAAAAAATAATTGCTCTAGAATAAAAGGAGCACATCATTATAGATGATATGCCTCACTAGTGGTTTATTTATGGTCTTTTCCTCCACTGTTATCTTTAATTATTCCTTAGAAGGGTTTTCATTCTCTAACCCTCTCACCTATAGATTGTACTCTTGGTCTTCACAAAAATTACACTGAACAAAAAATCATATAGCCAATCTAAAAAAAATTAGTCAAGTATACAGCCACCATTAAGATAAGGAAGTATATCAAAACATGTCCACAAACTTCCACAACATTTACCACTGATATCTAAGCAGCATGGACAAGGCTATATACAACATAACATTGATGTGTTGACACGATAATTTTCAAAAAATGTAGATTACAACAAGTGGAGAACGCGCACAAAATACATAGTTTTATATATTTATTATATGTCATATATACAAATATATCATTAAAAGACAATTAAAAAATGCAACATAGAACTAATTTCTATAATAATAATATGACACGTTTGGACGAGTGTCCGACATGCATCGGGAAGTGCCTGACGAGTGCTTGACATGTGTCGCGAAGTGTCTAACAGTGTTGGTGTCCAACACAGACACAACACCTTCTCAGAAGTGTTTAAGCTTTAAGTTTGACAAAGCAATTGCAAGTGAGAACAGATTATGATGTAATGCGCTAGTACAACTATCTACGAGCGAGTTACAAAATGCAAAAATATTACACCTGTTTAATTTCTGGAGGTGCCGGAATTTCAGGGGCTAAATCTTCTCGTTCCTCAGGATCATTACCCACAGCTTCATCATCATCAGTGAAGATTTCTTCATGCTCCCAATCATCACCTAGCAAAAACCAACAGCAAACCATCTCAACCGTCCAGCTCAATCAGAAATGAAAAGGTCCCCACATTAATAAAGCAGTGCAAAGGAGAAATTTCAATGAATGCTGCAAATTCATGATATAGAAAAAGCATGATGGAAAATAGCCACATCAAATTAGCCAGTGAAAAAATGCAAAACAACTATGCTACTTGTATCTAAAAATCTCTTCTCTTTTTCATTCTTGCATTCCAATTTACTTTTTATTATCAAATGCCAGGAATTTGAAAACAAAGATTCACATCAGAAGAGAGCATATTGTAAATCATAAAGCAATTTCTATCCATCTACTATCTTTAAAAACATATATTTATTTATTGTTCTAAGTATATCGGGAAACATAACATCAATATTATCTTCTATTAGTCTAAACAAGAACTTAATCCACTAAGAAGCACGGGCAATTCTAATAAGGTGCCGTGTCCATGTCAGAGATTCCCCAACAACATTTATCTAATTTTATTTTTTTTTTTAACAAGACAAGCTTCATACACTTGGGGGACACATGTGACCATGGCTTAAACACATGTGAAATACATTGGAAGATTGAAGAAAACATTCATTGACCAAATAAAAATAATGCGAGTAAAAAATATATGTTAATTTATTGCCATGTTCAGTGTCCATAACTACGTTTCTTAGTTAAATTAAAACAATATTGAGGAATCTTCTCTATTGGATTACAAGGTAGAAACAATAATGCTCACCCTTCTCAATATCATCATCATCCAAATCAAGGTCACCTCCTCTTGGACCTTCTTCGTCATCGTCGTCACCGCCTCTTTTGTTGAGTCCAAGTCTATTTTTCCTTGCACCCTCTTCGTCTTCATCTTCCTCTCCCTTGTCTGAAACATTAGCTTCGTCATCATCACCGCTAGTTTTTCTACGTCCCTTTCCACCACCAGCTCCACTTTCCTTATCGTCAAACTTTTCAACTTCACCAAATGCAGCAGGTCCATTGTTTGCTGCTTTCATCATCCATCTTTGGTACCCATCTGCAGTTTTCCTTCTATTCTTCATTTTCTCTTCTGCTTCCTCCAATGTAAGTTGCTTATATTGTGCAACCTTGTTAAAGTTGTACCTAAAAATAGAAGGAATAAAAAAAAGTTCTAAATCAAGAATAAGATAGCATTGAGCTTGATATGTAATCAATATCTATTCCACATACTTGCAACATATGTTATCAGAACTTACGATTCATGATTTGATTCGCAAATCATACATAGATCGATATGAATCTATGGGTGAATCTATTTCAAGATAGAACTATGGTAAAAATCACACGATTACACAATCCATTCATGATTCTCTATGTGAAAATGACATAATACAACTTCTAAGAGTTTTTAGAACAAAAATACTGAATATCTATGCATGATTTGTTGTTATTTTGATGATCCGAAGGTATTTAATAGGATCCAATCAGACCCAACATGCTCTTATTTTTTTCTTAAAAAAATTCATAATACATCTACCAAGGATGCTTAAGGTTGAAGTAACTTGCACCCATAAATTATCTACAGCTATTTTAGGGAAATAAATATAGTTCCATATTACATGGGTTAAGCCAGTTAAACACAATAGTTCCACAACTATTTTTTTAGAACTTTTTTAAGCATACCTTTAAAAGTGTTTGAGGTTATAAAATAAAATATTCTACTTAATTCTTTCTTATTATTATACTCTATATAGGACTCCTAGATTCATTTTTTGGATGTCAAGAGAGATTATATTATGATTTATAAATAAATTTACGGTTGGTTGGATTTGGATCCACATCTCTTGCTATGAAGGCCATTTCCAATTACATGGTGTAATCATATCCTTATATAAGAAATATTTTATAACATGGCCGAAAATCAATATTTCATTTTTCTATATATACAATTGTTCAACGCTTTTTATAATTTGTATTGAATCTTAACAATTCTCGATTTGATTCGGTGCATGATTCACTAAATTAGGAATTCACAACATGATTCTCCATTCGACAACCATGCTTGCAACACAAGATTAACATCTAGCCAATTAGGACCCTCCAAAAAATTATATATATTTTTTCTTCTTCCTTCCTTTCTTTCTTTCTTTCGCACATAAGGAGCAAACCTAGTTAGTTTGACAATTCACCCAAAAAAAAATGCTTATATTGCTCCCTTGCAGACAAGATGGCTATTGACCGGAGAGATGGTGACAATGTGATGTATCAGTACGTTACACAAACATATAGGCATACCAAGAACCTGCAGGAATAGCAACAAACTCCTTCCCCTGCAGCATTAATAGGTAGTATGTTGCTGATTGTGCACCCTCAAGCTGACCCTGGTACTGAAATTGGCCCGTTTCATCCTCCAAAAGCCAAGGCTTATTCTTGTACTTTTCCTATAAAATGGAATTACACAATGATGGAGCTAGTAAATAGGGGTATCAATAATCGAATTAGAAAGGAATGCAAAATAGCTAATTAACAAAATTCAAAATAAATCAATTTTATACTAAACCATAAACCAATGAAAGACTAGGAGAATCAAAACCTGTTAGCCAACCAATGAATGTTTTGCATATGCCAACTGAAACTAAATACACGGGTCAATATTAAACATTTCCTCAAAAATAAGTTCATTTGAAGAAACAATGTGATACAGAATTGAAAACATATCGGATCAACAGCCAAAAACTGTGATTTGTCTTACATTGTGAATAAAAATATGCTTGAGAAAATAAAAAAAGGAACACTTTAATTGAGGTAAGTTGAAGAAAATTGCTTGGTTAGGTTTTTCAGAAAACATTTTTCAGAAAATTCTACTTTCTTGTTTTCCGTGTTTTTTGTTTTTACTGAATTTTTTTAATATTTTAAGCAATTTTTTTTACTTTTTAGACATAGCTAACATAAATATACCTAAAAAGTAAAAAATGTGTGAAAAAAACCTTTTAAAAATTCACTAAATACCAAAAATACAAAAAAAATATGAGAATTTAGTACATTTTTTGTATTTTTATGTATTTTTTAATTTTTTAAAATATTTTTCACAAAATTTTTACTTTTTAGATACATCTAAGTAAAGTGCATCTAAAAAAGTAAAAAAAATGTATAAAATTTTAAAACTATTCACTAAAAACAAAATAACACGAAAACCAAAAAACTCAGGGCTCGTTTGGTTTGATTTTCTGAAAAAATTTTGGGAAATTTTCTCTACAAATAAGTTTTCAAAAATAATCAAACCAAACAAATTTTCTCAAAAAAATTTCTCAAAACTTGTAAACCAAACAAGTTTTCCAAACAAATCTCTCTCTCACACATATCAAATCAATCACTTTTTCCAAAACTCTATCTCAAAATAATTTTCCAAAACATCTTTTAAAAAAAACCAAACCAAACATGTTTTCGTACTTTTTATCTCTAAAACACATCTCTCAAACACAAACCAAACATACCCTCAGTTTTCAAAAAACTTAATCCAAAAAACTCAAACCAAACACACTGTAAAACTGTGAAATTACTAAACCCCTATGGAATTGTGCTTATGGGGAAAGCATATGCCAACTTTTACAAATTAATGCCAAATCGCCAATTATGAAATTATCCAAGTGACTAATTGATATCATGCCAATTCAAAACACAATTAATTAACCAATCTATTAATTTTGCAATTAATCAATCTAATCTATCAATCTCATCAAATTAAGAGCAATCAACAACGAGACAATAGATTTAACGTACAAACCCCATAGAAACCCCCTTCAATACTGAGAAAATCATGATCCCGACACAGTGACACCCACAATCAATCAACTATTGAATCAAATAGTTACAAAGACACAATTGAAGGAATTCCAACTTCCTACCCAAGATTATCTACAATCTAAGAAGCACGGACACTTCTAAGAAGGTGACGTATCCATGTCGTGTCCGTATCGGACACCGACACTCTCAGGGCACATGTCCAACACTCTTCAAAACGTGTCCTATTTTTTAGTTTTTTTAAATACACAGACACTCTTTGGACACTTAGAGGACATACGTGTCAATCGTTTAAACACACGTGTCTATCAATTAAACACGTGTAAAATTAATTATAAGCTTGAACAAAACAACTTAAGATAGAATAATAAAACAAAAACCATATAAATTTACAGGAATTAGTGTCATATTACATTTTTTATTATCTCTGAATGATATATTCATATATATAACATATAATAAATATATAAAATTATATATTTCATGCTTGTTCCCCACGTGTCGTGTCTTGCATTTTTTGAAAATTAACGTGTTGGCGTATCCGTGTCCGTGTCCATGCTTCTTAGTCTATAATTGAATCCAACTATCAAGTGGGAACCAAGAACTATGAAAAACTTTATAAAATTTTACCTGAAACTCAAATAAGCAAAGTCCTATAAGATGGGCTAGTCCGTAGATGTAAGTGAAATACAGAACTGTGATGTACAAAGGTCCAAATGGGTCATATTATATGCATGTTAGCAACGGAACCGATGACGGCATCACTTGCCAACTATTTTTTATTTACTTTTTGTTAATTTTTTAGGTAAACTCAATCTCACTAAATCAGCTACTACCAACCCAAAGCCCCAAAATTACGAACTCAGATTTTGATCATCAAAAATAACAAACCTAACTGAATGTATCCTTACAAACTGATTTGTCGTTAATGATGATGGTCAATATCATTGCTCTTAAATATGCATTTGGTTTTCACTAGAATGAAATCTCATTTTGAGAAAATAGATTTGAAAACTTTTCATACCAGACACAATTGATGGGAAACATTTTGTACTTCAAACTCCTCAACGATGAGGAAGAATATAAGAATAATCTTATTAGTTAATGTGGGTACTTGTATCAAGCCTAATACGTGGCAAGCCCTACAGATACCACATCACCAAAACCCCACCCACGTGGCAGACCAATAAGGCACCACGCGGGTATGTCGTATGTTTGATACATGGCGAGCCCTACGGGCGCCATGTGCCAAGGCACTACGTAAAACCAAGACTATATGCTTAGCCTAAGAGGGAGCATACATATAAGCCCAAATATATCTAAATATGAAGAGCCCTACAACAGGCCTTCGTACCTCGCTCCAAGACCAAAACAACAATACAATTAGCCCCCCGTTCACTTGGACTTTGATTGATAAACACTGGTTCTCCTAAATATTAAAAGAGGCCTGCAACCCATTCTCCTACTTGGTCGCTTAGAAGCGAGCCCCTCTCCTAAACATTGAGATATGCCCGCGGCCCATTCTCCTACTTCGTCACTTGGAAGCGAGCCCCTGGCTCTCCTAAACATTAAGATGGACCCTAGCCCATTCACCTACTTGGATGCCTGGGTTGGGAGTAAGACCCAGGCACTATTGCTCGGGATCATCAGAGGATACTGGACTAGCAGCTGAGGTCATGGGATCGTCAAGATGGTTGTCTTCTTGCTAAGACAACTCCATCTCGACCAGGCTTGGAGAAGACACAACAATGACCTTACGTTCATGTCATCCGATGCATATACGAAACGTTACTTTCCACCTGCCATGAAGCGTTGCTCTTTGCCAGCCGTCAAGCCAAAAGACAGCAGAAGAGCTTATATCATTTCTGGCAGAGTTGAGGAGAACGAGCCGCCTGTTCAACAGTTTGCTTGGGCTCCAATACTCATGTTGCCTATATAACGTATCGTATATGCAGCGAGACACAACAATAATACAACTAAGTCTCATGCTTAAACACCCCTCTCATACTCTATATCAGCGTTCAAGATCCATCACTGCCAACCTCTCCCTCTCCAAGCTTGCCTTGACCTCCTCCTCTCTGCCTCCGGTGATCTCAGGCCATTGAAGTGCCCGCCATCTTCCCGAACTACCTCTAACCACACCTCTCACCCACATTATACTCTGCTGGAGAAGAGTGGTGCTCACTTCACATGGCACCCAAAAAGAACAATGGAACTGGAGCAGCAACATCCCAAGGTGGCGGTAGGAAAACCCTGGCAGAGACCTCGGAACACAACTCCGGCGGCTCTCCAGAAGAACAATCCTCTCAACCGGCCATAGCGGATCAGCTACGTGTATTAACTGAGAGCGTCACCTCTCTTCAACAGAACCAGCAACTCTTAATGGATGCCTTCCTAGCCTTACAAAGGGCACCTACACTTCCATCATCATCTAACCTTCTTTCATCATCACAAAATGGCACTTTGCCATTAGCCCAGAATGGCTCAGAAGCCAACCCCGCTCCACAAAACAACTTGCAAACCCAAGTGGGAGGACAAACAGTCACCTCACTCCCTCTATTAGTTCCCAGCCAAATACCTCCACCACAAGTTGGATCCATTAGCGGAGCTCCCACCGCAGTGGCTTTGACTGGCTCTCCAGCTCTTCCGCCGGATCAAACCCTTTCCCAACCATTAACACCGGATGTAGTAAAAGAGCACATACACAGCCTACTCCAGACGAACAAAGGTCACATCCCTGCCTCTCCAAAAAATTCCACTCTCCCTCGCCTTCCAGGTATGTTTCTATCCCTCGCTATATTGTGCAACCTTGTTAAAGTTGTACCTAAAAATAGAAGGAATAAAAAAAAGTTCTAAATCAAGAATAAGATAGCATTGAGCTTGATATGTAATCAATATCTATTCCACATACTTGCAACATATGTTATCAGAACTTACGATTCATGATTTGATTCGCAAATCATACATAGATCGATATGAATCTATGGGTGAATCTATTTCAAGATAGAACTATGGTAAAAATCACACGATTACACAATCCATTCATGATTCTCTATGTGAAAATGACATAATACAACTTCTAAGAGTTTTTAGAACAAAAATACTGAATATCTATGCATGATTTGTTGTTATTTTGATGATCCGAAGGTATTTAATAGGATCCAATCAGACCCAACATGCTCTTATTTTTTTCTTAAAAAAATTCATAATACATCTACCAAGGATGCTTAAGGTTGAAGTAACTTGCACCCATAAATTATCTACAGCTATTTTAGGGAAATAAATATAGTTCCATATTACATGGGTTAAGCCAGTTAAACACAATAGTTCCACAACTATTTTTTAGAACTTTTTTAAGCATACCTTTAAAAGTGTTTGAGGTTATAAAATAAAATATTCTACTTAATTCTTTCTTATTATTATACTCTATATAGGACTCCTAGATTCATTTTTTGGATGTCAAGAGAGATTATATTATGATTTATAAATAATCACAATGGATCTTGCATCAAGGTTGAAGAACAAGCAAGGATCAAGACTTTGACCGATTATTTTGGGGATTTCATTGAAGTTTGAAGATGGGTCTTCACTCTTAGCTTCCAATCTTGAGGTAGGGGTCCTAGTTCTTCTTCAATGTTTG